ATCTCGAAGCGCATGCAATAAAAAAAATTTCTGCACAAATTCTTGGAACCACTTTTCTTTTTGTATTGCTTTATACCTAAAAAAAATATAAGAATTCTTTTCGTCTAGGTAATACTTTTTTTATCATATCTCTCATTTCATTAGAAATTTTCCAAAATTCTTTGCTCTTCCTTTTTATTAATAAACCTGCAATCAAATTTAATTGTTGTCATTATTTTAATTCAAACCACAAAAAATATAGGACTATGAATTAAAATAAAACTGATGTGATACTATTAAATAAAATTGTATTATCATATTTATCAAAGAAGGACTGACAAATATCGAACTGTACCATACCATTTTGAACTTTGAACTTTTGGAATTCTCAAAACATATAATTAGAATAATCTAAGTATTCTTTAACTTGTTTAAATATCGAACTGTACCATACCATTTTGAACTTTTGGAATTCTCAAAACATATAATTAGAATAATCTAAGTATTTGTTAACTTGTTTAAATTGCCAAGATAGTGATAATACCGTCAAAATTTGGATCTTTTTAGTCACAGTTTTTGATTGATCAAATGTTTTTTGTAACGATAATATATATAATGTCTTTTAGAGAACAAATATCTTCTATTAAATTCTGTGTTAGTTGACCGTTAAAACTTGAAATATTCAAATCATAAGCGTTATTTATTTTTTTAGTCAACTTATCTAAAACTTCCAGAAAAGTCTCTTCTACTTGTTTTTGTAAACGCTCCATAGGTAATTTATATTGATTTATGGAAACTTTATTCAGTTCTTTTAATATGCTCTTAATTGAATTAACCTCTTGAGAATAGGATTGATAGTAAGAACCAGATAAACACCGCTTTGATGAGAAACTTTCGAACACTGAATTTCCACGTGACAAAGTAGCACTATCACCTCTTGCAACATTATGTTGTTCATAGACATCTTTAATTTCCATAGACTCTGAATTATCTATGTTTTGTTCATCTATTTGATTTATTGTTGTTTCACAGACTCGACACCATTTATCTTCAGGAATTAAATTTATTGAATGTACTTCTGATAAAATTTTATTAAAATTTACACAGGATTCTAAACATTTTTTTTTATGTTTTTTTTAAAGTATCACAACACTTATATTTATTTATATGACGAAAAATATTCTAAAAATCGGAGTTTATGATAGTGACAAATTTTTTCATCTGATACCTGGTCATAAAATTGTTCATCTTGCAGCCTTCATTTCAAAATGAGAATATTTTCTTCGCTCAATTCACTTAAATTAAATAAAATTTTCTTTTCAGAATATGTCGCTAAATTACATTCCGTATCTGTTGATACCCCAATGTAGCACGTCTCCATTATTTGAATGTTTAATACAACCAACACTCCGTCTGAATTAATTAAACTTTTCTGAATGCTGAAGACCGCTCACCGCAGTTAAGTTGTTTACATGATTATATGATAATTTCACTACCTTAGGCACGCCACTAAGCGGATAAATTACTAAGCAGAAAAGTTTTAACGCCACCTTCAGGAATAATTCAAAAAATACAAGTACTGTCTGTCCACAATAAGTTGGCGGACCGAAGGAATTAGGTTATTTAGGTTTAAACAATGGTCGTGTTGTGTGATTTTAAAACGTATTTTTTATAATATAAATAATAGGTCTGTCCATAAGTTGGTGGAGCAAAGGAATGTTCATGCAGTTTAGATAAACAATATTAAAAAACATTCTCTCTTAAAATGAATTAGTCAAAACTAACTATAGTAAATTCAAAAGGAAACGACGTACACGTCATCAATCAGTTGATTGGGCACGGTGTCAATGTGATGCTAAAATCATTGCATCAAGTGAAAGTGCTAGTGCAACTACAGGGCGATGGAAGGCGTTTACATGAATAATACCATAGGGTCCCTAGATTTGGGACCTAAGAATACCAAAATGTCAAAAGTCAGTTTTTATAACCCATATGATTTAAGGACATTTTCAGCTATAAAACTCAAACATTTTGCCATCTAAAGTTAGTCTAAGGTATATATATTCTTATTTTATGTATCCAACATATTTTCTGGTAAATATTCTAATATATAATTAATAATAATAAATAAAATAATAATTTCAATAATGTTATAGAAAAAACTTTTTTTGTAATCGAAACGGAACTATACAATATTATAATGAGCATAAAAAAACTCCCACTCATGTGGTCACGATTTATTTCCATCTAAAGTTATTAAACGTAGGTACCTAGCGTAAACTATATTGTTTCTATTTTATGTCATATTATAAATGAGTGTTTAGTTAAAGGAACCTTTCCAGATGTACTAAAGATTGCTAACACTGTTACTTTATATAAAAAAGGTGATCGAAAAATACTTACTAATTATAGACCAATCGCATTGTTATAAATTTTTTCAAAAATTGTTGAAATAGTAATAGCTAAAAGAATTTTATCTTTTCTTAATTGTTTTAATATTTTGATTGATTAACAACACGGATTTACTCAAAACAAATCAACAATGACAGCTTTGGTAAGTATTTTAGATTACATATATAAAGGTTTGGACATGAATGAAAAAGTTATGGCTTTATACGCTGACTTATCTAAAGCATTTGATTGTGTGCAACATAAAATTTTGCTGTCCAAACTTGAATCTTTTGGTATTCGTGGTAGGTGCAATGATCTTTTAAAATCATTCTAACCTTGCGAAGAGAATATGTTACTTACATATAATAATGCAAATTCTAAATTGCTAGATGTAGAAATCGGTGTTCCACAGGGTAGTGAATTGGGGCCATTGCTTTTTTTATTGTAATTAAATGATATTACAAACATTATGTCTAGTAAGTTTGTATGTTTTGCAGATGATATAACAGCTGTTATAAAAAATTAAAATCCTGACACTATGGCTAAAGAACTACAACTTAATTTGGAAAATATAGAGTCATATCTAGGTGCAAATAAACTAGTTTTTAATCAGGAAAAAACTTATATAATACAATTTTTTTTCTACTGCAAACAGGTAACCAATTTTAAACTTCTTGGCATAAAACTTGACTTGTCATTAAAATTTTAACAGCATGTTGACATTGTTTGTACAAGGTTATCAGGTTATTGTTTTGCTTTAAAACGTCTTAATCAAATAGTAAGTAAGGATGCAGCCTATTATTTTTATTTTTCTTTATAATTATTAATTTGTTTTTGAATTGTCCTATATCTGTAAAGGTCTTTGGATTAATAAATGATTTATTATTTATTTATTTATTTATCATAATCCTATTTACCTTTCTAACAGCTGTTAAAGGTAACAAAAGTCCATTATTATCCCGTTCTGCCTCAAAATAAATAAGGATGATACCAACTCTTGACTTCGACTATTTAAATGCTTCGGCATTTAAATTGCCAAAGCATTTAAATAGTCGGAAAAACAAAAAAAACGATACATAACAAACACAAAATCGACAATGAAAACTTAAACGATATAAAATAACACAAACAAAATAAACGAAATTTTACAGGAAACGAAATATTCAAAAACACAACTGACAGCCTCGAAATTCTAAATCGCAATTTCTTTTCCTATGCGTCATTTTATTATGCATATTTTAATCTAAACATGACAACATTGCAATTGCTGCCACCTAAAGTTGTTTCTCGTTGTTATTTTAAACAATGTAGTTTTCAGGATGTTAAAAAATTTATAGTTCGGATCCAAGCTCGATTCCCTTGTAGAAATTTTCAGGGCTTCTTAGGAACATAACATAGGAACTTCCCTAAAAATTGAAGCAAATCGAAGTTCGGAGGAAAAAGTTCCTGCTATCTGAAAATAGCGATTTTTCGAAAATAAGTTGACTTTAGATGACAACTTAACGAAATAGAAGCAATTTACAAAAAATTGGGTAGATTTCATTAGAGTATACCTGAACCAAAAATATATAATAGCTGCTGATCAACTCTCTACTTCGGAAACTGTAGATATGACAGCATTTTAAAAATAGGCAAAATTTCAGTGTTTAACAGTTAGCAGCTAGAAGCTGGAATTTAGTTTGAAACAAGTTCAATTTTTAAGAATGCCGCCTTAAACGAGTCTTTAAGTTATATAGAAGCTGAGATATAAATTTTTGAAATGACTCTCAAAAATCACAGAATTTACCTACTACTTTTTAGTTTTTAAAATGTACATATATTTACCAAAACAAAGTTTACAAAGCAGGGTCCCCATTTGAATGACGGGGTCTGGGGCTATACCCCCTCCTTAATCCAGGTTTGGTATCAGGAATATGTTTTTTTCATTAAATAAACTCTCCACGTGGATATCTATAATTTACTTAACTCTATACTAAACCCTGCCAAACCGAAATTATTATTTTTGGAAATGCCGTAAACCGGGACCTCCTTATATATATATATATATATATATTTTAGTTTCTTAAAATATTCCGGCTTAGTTTTGAGCCAAGGACAGTGCAGACAAATTTTGACAAAGATGTTTCAAAAACATTTTCCCGGATCTTTTTGACCCAGTTTTGGACTGGCAAGGGCTAAGATTTGAAGCCCAATTTCGCCTTTGGACAATTTAAGTTGATTTTGAGGTATAGCCTATCAGTCAGTTGAACCTGACCTAAGAAATTATTTAATTAAATGCCTAAAAAAAGTATGCAAAGCATGGTGCTGCAAATTACAAATATATAATAAAACTAAAACTTCCGTAGGTGCTTTACCATTTAAGTATCTAAAAGCCGGTTTAATAAACCCCCTTGTTAAGTTCTAGTTAGTTTATTTACAGAAAAAGTACCTAAAACTTAACCAGACATTAATAATATATACCATTTATATTATATTTATCATTTTTGTTATATTTTTTGTTTTTATTGCCCAAAACGAGTTTAATGACTCTTAATGTTTTTAAAAGTAACTTATTTTGTGTTTGCCTGTCCAACCTATAAAATCTAAATCAAGCATAATTTGACCATTGAAACATCTTTATTTATACATACCCTCATAACTAATTTTACCTTCTTCATCGGTACCCGTCATAACAATAAAATTTGAAATTTGTTCTTCAGTAACAGGTTCTCCGATCATTTCCATGGCAATTTTAAGCTCATCTCTTTTTATATATCCATCGTTATCTATATCAAAGACCTGAAATGCTGCCAATAAATCGTCTTGATGATCATCTTTATTAAGCTCTGGGCATAAATTTTGTATTTGTCTAACAAAATTTAAAAAATCTGATTCGTCTATAAGTTCCTTTCCTAATATAAATACGTTTTTGTAATTTTTATCGTTAAATTATAAATCGTTATAATTACCTGCATGGCTAATATTTCTTAGGATTTCCTCCACTACATCTTCTTTTATTTCAATTCCTAAATTTAATAACATTATTCTAAACTCTCTTGAAGTAACCTTTCCATCTTGATTTCTATCCAATAATTGAAAAGCTGTTTTAAGATCTGAAAATTAAATTTTTATTCAATCAATATATTTAAACAAATTAAAACAAAAACTACAGTAGATTAATGCAATTTTAATTTATAAATAAACCAATTGGATATTTTTATACATTTAATCATTTAAACCTATTAAATCAAATCTAACTAATTTTAAACATCCTATTTATTATTTGGAATCGTTTTTCTCCCAGTCAATAAATATAAAATATTAATATTTTTACAATTTAAAATTGTAACAGGTGGAAATAAACTTGATATAATATTATGATAATAAAAATACAGACCTTCCAATTCCTTCTGTGTAAACTCTTTTTTTATTGAACTCTGAAATAAAAAATACTGTCAAACAAGTTTACATACAAACTAGAAACCACCAGAAAAATTGCATGAGTACGAAAGAGTGGTCACGGTTTGCAAAAAAGTTGATTTGGAAAAAAAGCTTTACAAAGTTGTTAATACATTGGGATTTCTGAAATTTTTTTAAACTGTATTATTAATTGTTAAATTAGCACTTTGCAACAAGTACATATATTCCAATCTTATAGGTACTTTTATTTATTTTTATTTAATAAATTACATTAATATAAACAATTCTAAAAATTTTGTGTTGTTATTGACTAAGTTTGGTACGTGGCATTTTATTGGTACAAGTACCCAATGGGGTTAAAGAACTATAGTTCTAAGAAGCATTTTAGTTTAATTTTTTCATGACTATCTCTAGAAATCTATGAACATCAAATTTAAATAAGTCTTAAAGAGTAAATTAGTGTGTTTGAAACATAAAACTTTGCGCCTTAAGGATTATCTCTATAAATATAGGTATTAGTTATTACCAATATTGCTTATAAATTTATTTTTAATTTTTGGTCGGTATAATATTTTAAATTTAAATTTATATAATATAAATATATAAAATTTTAAATTTAAATTTTAATATACCTATTTATTTTCCAAATGGTGTTTGACAAACTTACCAAACATTTGTAATTGAAAACGTTAGGAAAAAAGTCGGCAAATGGGAACCGAATTAAAGGAACATTCGCCGAATAGCACGAATTCAATCTTAAAATGAATTAATTAAAAATAAATTAATGAAATAGCCAAATTAGTAAATTTAAATTAAAAAAAAATTATTACTGCGCTTGGGTTTGAACTCGGGTCTCTTGGTTGTCAGGATAAAATGGAATTAAAACGTTGAACAGATCTTGTTGTTCTCGACACTATACCTAGCTTGAGCGGATTAACTCTTTTTACTCTAGCATCGTCATTTGGTTATCATTGTTTCCAGCGTAAGAAGCCTTTCGGCTTTCCTCTTGGTTATTTCCTGATCCTAGACGATGTCATTTATGCGATCCATGACTTCGTATGGCCCTTCATAAAAAGTATGCACCTTGAATACCCACGACGACGCTGAGGATTGTACATGGTCTCCAGGATCAAATCCTCCGCCTTGATGTCGTATGCCTCTTTCATTCTATCGCATTGGATGTTTAAACGAACTTTGCTGTGAATGTCGCTCATTTATCTACATATGACATAATCTTCTCCAGCAATATCTTCCCCTGGTAGGCAGCTAAACCTCAGGTCACAAGTAGGGTTTTACAATTTCCGTAAAAAAACTCAAAAAAATTGACTTTTGCATTTTTTTAAATTTTATATAAAGGATAATACGAAGACATTTTTTTTTAAATTTACACTGATATCGAGAATAAAGGGAATTTCCGACGCTGATTATAATCATATAATATTATGATTACATTTATTATTCCTTTTATTTTATTTCAGTAAGAAAATTCTAACAGGTCGCAAAAAATATATACGGATATTAACAAAACTATCCTTTTATTTGTCACATCAATTTATAAATGTATAATTTTATAATTTAACTTAATAAATCATTTATTAGTTTTAAATTTAATAAATTAAATGGCCTTCCTTTTGCAAAAAGGACCCAACCGATAGTATATTAAAGTTTATGAAAATCAATTTTGTTCGATTTTTCTTCTGTATACGATTATCCAATAGTTTGCGGTATTCTATAACTTAAAATTAAATAATATTTATTTTAGAACAATTTTGAAACTTCTATTATATGTATATTTATTGGCTCTGATCATAAAAAAATACATAAACTACACATAAGCAAAAATAGAATAGAATAAGAATATTTATACCATGTTGCTATTAGTTTAATTTTATTTCAATGTTTTTTCATTGATAACTTGACAGAATAAATTTTTGTAAATGGTAATTATTGTGCATTTTTAATTTGGCTACAAAATCCTTTCTACTTTAAAATTTTGAATAAAATCCTTGAAATAATAGGAATTGTAAAATATCTTTGTTATTATTAACTTAAGGTATAGGGAATAGTTAGCCGTCTAACTCGCAGCAGAGCAGCTGTATTTTTGCTATATATATATATATAACAAGCAAAAGAAATGATGAAAATGGCTTTTTCTCAAAAAAATTGAAAATACTTAAATATTTTTACAAGTATAGTTAAGTACATCCGTGGACACACGGTATATATATATATATATATATATATATATATATATATATATATATATATATATATATATATATATATATATATATATATTAATTGTATGCTACGACACCCACATAATCGATGTACAATCAAACACCCACACTTATATACGTATAAAATAGAAGGATCACATGTTGCTGTATTAGCACCCATGTAAATCTTGTCTATGAGGCACCAAAATGTATGAACTTGTGATATTGCGTGTCAAACTGACACCTTACAGCGTTGCCAAGATATTTCACTGTTTTATACGTATAAAACAATATTGTCAAAATGGCACCCCCCTTAATATTGGTCCTAATGACACCAATATGTTTGAACTTGTGATATAACAGGTCAAAGTGACACCTTACAGATATTCATAAACATAACATATTTTTGGAAAATAACGGTTTTATACATATGACACGAAATTGTCAAAATGGCACCCTCGTTAATCGTGGTCCGAATGACACCAATATCTATGACAAGTCAAAGTTATTCTTACACGAAATATTCCTTTCTTTTTTTTTAAATCTGCAATTTAAGCCAAAAAAAACCTGAATGCACGTAGTACACGAACGCCCTTATTGTGGATATATGGGCCACTAAATAAAAATATGTTTTAAGTGCTCTTAGTTTAATAACATAAACATATTAAAAAATAATACAAAAACACATAGGTACGTAATTAAAAAAGGTACATTAATAAAAGAGTACTAAATAATTACAAAAATTATGTAAATAATAATTAAAATAATACTTAATATTACGGTAAATATATATACTACTGACCCATTTGTTAAATTTGGGAATACAATTTAATATATTATATTGTATTCCCAAATTTAACAAATGGGTCGGTAGTATTTTTTTATTTGCGTACATTAAAAACATATTTTTTTTAAACATTCAGATTCAACATCTAAAAATGTACGGGTCAATTTCAATTACTGTTACCTTTCATTGAACAATTTTAAATTGTTAAAACGGTTTAAACCCTTAAAGTCAAAAATACACCCCTGTTATTTAATTAGCGGATGACTAACATAACACATAATAATTTTAAATTGTTTGTTGCTGTTGCATGTAAACCAAATTAAAATTTTAAAAACACGCAAAAAAATAAAAATTAAAAAATTAAATTATAAAATCTTATTAAATTGTTTTGTTGCGATATTTTATTTATACCTACTTACCTGCCAATTCCCATGTAAAAAGTGTAAAGATTTGTCAAATTTAGATTAATTAAAAGAGCCCCACTCTATTTGGCATTGCAAAATATAAAGTGATACGTTTATATGTATACACTGCGCGTCAAAATTAACGCATAAAAAGTAAAAAAAGTCTTAACTCTAAAACGCCTTTACTAATCTTTATGAAATTTTTAAAAAAATACTTCATCTTATACATGTTATATATGTTCGAGGGATTTTCAAGAAAATATGTTTAAAGTCCTTTTATTTAATAATAAAAAAACGTTTGAAAAATAACTTTTAGGAATTTTTTTAAGTAAATAAGAAATATGCTGTTAAAGACCGTATTTTTATTAGTATACCCTGAAAATTTTGTACAAATCAAACGAACATTAACGAAGATACAGTGCTTCAAAGTCGTTAAAAATGACCCCTTTTGATTATTTTGCTGAAAAGTGGTCATTTTTGATGACTTTAAAGGGCTGTATTTTCGTTACTATTCGTTTGATTTGTACAACATTTTTAGGGTATACTTACAAAAATAAGGTATTTCTCAGCATATTTTTTATTTACTTAAAAAAATTCCCTATAAAAGTTTTTTTTCGAGCGTTTTTTATTATTAAATTAAAGGGCTTTAAGGATATTTTCTCAAAAAACCCTTGAACACGTAAACTGAGATATAAGTTAAAGTATTTTTATCCAAAATTTTATAAAGATTGGTGAAGGCGTTTTAGAGTTAGAATTTTTTTACTTATTATTATGCGCGCAGTGTATTTATCAAATACAGGGTGTTTCAATCTAAAGTTTCCACACCGGTTTTCACACGTCAATTTTTTATTTAGGGGCAACAATTTATTTTAATTTTTAACCCTGCAACCTAAACGTCTAAGCGGCAAAAAGACCTATCAACTATCATCCCCACCTAGGAATGAAGATTGAGGGGTTGTAAATATTTAAAAAATGGTCCCCTTGAATAAAAAACGTGTGCGAACGTTTGTTGTATTTTTAACACCTTAGAAATAAATAAAAATTATTTTCTACATAATGGTTTAGAACATTAACTGACAATTACTCCATTAAAAAACAGGTGACCAGCGTTTGCAGACAACTTCAGATAATTAACCAATATCACGTGCAATGCCGAATCAAACACGAAATAATCCCAAACCGACCGACCGAAACTATTAGCGCGAAAGTTTTAAACTTTTAAATCTACAATAGTAGCTCAGCCCTTTTAAACATTTAACTATTAATAATAATATTAATAATAATAAACCGATTGTATGTAAAAATGCCCTTTTTGTTTTTAAATATTTTTTTTCAGGTTTTAAAGATATTTTATTTAACTATCTATGTTTTATCGTAAGTAATATCATAAGGGCATCTAATTTTTCCGATAAAAAAATCGAAAAAACACGTTTCTAAGTAATATTTTAACAAGAAGCATGAGTGCTGGTGGCAACAAAAATCCGAGTCGAAGACGAGGATTTTTGCACCTGCACGAATGCATTTTGTTAAAAAATATTACTTACACTCATAGAAATATCAAGTTATGAAAAGCATATGAAATTATATTAATTTAAATAATCGGGTAA